CTTCAGAGAGACAGGAATTCTGAAGAGACATCAAAGAACTCACACTAGAGAGAGACCATACAAATGTTCCCAGTGTGGAAAATGTTTCAGTCTATCAGGAATCCTGAAGAGACATCAAAGAACTCATACTGGAGAAAGACCCTACAAATGTTCTCAGTGTGGGAAATGCTTCAGTCACACCAACTGTTTGAAGATGCATCAGAGGATTCATACTGGTGAGACCTACAAATGTTCTCAATGTGGGAAATGCTTCAGAGAGACAGGAATTCTGAAGAGACATCAAAGAACTCACACTAGAGAGAGACCATACAAATGTTCCCAGTGTGGAAAATGTTTCAGTCTATCAGGAATCCTGAAGAGACATCAAAGAACTCATACTGGAGAAAGACCCTACAAATGTTCTCAGTGTGGGAAAGGCTTCAATCAGATGGGAACTTTGAAGAAGCATCAGCGAATTCACACGGGAGAGAAGCCTTATAAATGTTCTCATTGTCAGAAATGCTTCAATGAGAGAGGAAATTTGAAGAGACATCAGAGAATCCATGCTAGAGAAAGCCTTAATATCATACAAGAATTCATACTGGAAAGTGACCATATAAATGTTATCAAGGTGGGAAAGACTTCTACAGGTCAAGAATTCTAAAGTGACGTAAAAAACATCATGCTTGAGGAACACCTCAAAGACATTCTTAGTAAGACATTCTAGGAGATAACTCGAACCACCACTAAAGATCTCCACTTTCACCTGTAGGAGAAAACTCCTAGCAATGGGAATAAATTGTTAAATAATTGGACCAACTATCCAGAATGGTGCTGAGCTTTTTCACTGATTTGTTCCGGCAGCAGCTGGCAGAATATTTGAGATGGATTATTTCAGTTTGGATTCCTGCACGGTAATGGGATTGGATTTGATGGCTGATATGGCTCTTTTCCCTGTTTCTGTGATCATATACAGGAAATACAATATATAAATATGCTCAGTGAAATAAAGGTTAAGTCATGCAGCAGTGCTGGAGGGACATCATACATAGAACCTGTACAGAAAGTGAAGATTCAAATATGTGAAGTCAAATAAAATATTTGACAGCACTTCTGTGCTACAAAGTATACAGAATGCTTCTGTAGGCACCCCTTGTCTGAATTGGTTTTGTTTCTCTATCCTCCTGCTCAATGAAACCAACCCTTCATTTTATACTATTTGTATAGACATTTATGAGATAGGAAATAAACAGAAATGAAAACTGTCTGAATTCTCAGCATGGATTTTGTCTTTTTCGCTGGAGTTGTAAAACTGGGTCATGCTGTCCATCAACCTCTCCATCACACTGTCCATCGATTCTTTTATGTTTATATCTGTGTCAGTCAGACCAAGGAATGGAAGTTGTGGTTCATTTTTTATTTTCTTGCAATGAACCACGTTTACATTTTTTTTAACGCTCATTCTGTGCTGCTGATAACGTTCCTGGGGATTTTTGCTGCCCCTGATTTAATCACCCTCAATGAGGATAACAGTAGGTTTATAATTAATGTAATAGAAGACATTAATTAAATATTAATGAATTTAAAATATTAAAAAAAGAAAGCTGTGTTAATTTTTCTAGAAGCAGAAGAAGCCTTTGACCATTTAGAGTGGCCGTTTCTATTTATTTACTAAATACAAATTTACAAATTTAATACATAAATAAAATAAATCCTGGAGAAGATTTTAAAGACTCGGTTGAAAGCATATATAAAAAGCATATACGATACACTTCCCACCAAATAAGTAAAAGCAACTTCCTTATTATTTATCATTGCTTTAAAAATATTGGCAGACAGGTTCAAGGTGATGGACAAATACCTGGTCTCCAAATCAGTGGAAAGGAATATGCTGAAATGTTATGCAGATGATGTAGTATTAACCACAGGGGGCGATAAAGTTAAATTGATGAAAACAACCCATAGCTTCAGAGAACTCTCCAGATATAAAATCAATGTCCAAAAATGACCACAAAATATTTAATGCAAGGAGGACTATTCCTATTTTTCTAGGAGGTGGATGAACCAACCATTGGTGGCAATTGGTGGATGAACCAACCATTAGAGCAGCATTTCTCAGCCTTGGCCACTTGAAGATGTGTGGACTTCAACTCCCAGAATTCCCCAGCCAGCATGGGCATTGATTTTATATGTGGAGAATTCTCTGAAGCTATGGCTGGCTGGGGAATTCTGGGAGTTGAAGTCCACATATCTTCAAGCAGCCAAGGTTGAGAAACACTATCCTAAATAAATACATTTTGTTATTCTCTGAAGCTATGGCTGGCAGGGGAATTCTGGGAGTTGAAGTCCACATATCTTCAAGCAGCCAAGGTTGAGAAACACTGTCCTAAATAATAAATACATTTTGTTATTCTAAATAATTTAAGACTGGCTGAAAGTCTCGCCTTTTTAAAATGGACACTCTGCAAAAGTCTAAACCGTCGGACAATTTTGGCAATTTTTGAAGATTATCGAGCCAATCAAATGATGGAAGTCCTGCCACTTTGAGGTTTAGCAAAGCAATACATTTTCTAAGCAGATTCCTTTGAATTTAGCAAGCGTGTTGAATGACAGATTGGAACTCTAGCATTTTTCTTGGTATAGGACAGGAACAAAGGAGAAGCTGATGCTTTATAGGGCAACAAGTCACCGCCCACCCTAAAAAAGACAGAATCGGGACTTGCTTGGAGCAGGGAGATCATCTGCTAAGGAAGGCAGAGTTAGGATGATGCAGCTGGGGCCGCCAGAAAAGGGTTCTGACAGATCCAATCAGCTTCAAGTTGTGCCAAAATTACTAAATTCAGTTAACTATTTGGGAGACTTTTACTTTTAAAAACTACCTTTGGGGATTCCTGTTGTTCACAAGTTGGTCCAGGAAAAATGTTGCCTGCTCTCCAAAATTTGAAGGATATTCTACGTTCATCTTGGTTTAATGCTTTATTGAAGGTGAAAGGTATCCTTTGTGCCTCCAAGTTTTTTGCCTTCAATGCTCAATTGATTTTTTTATTTTATTTTTATTTCTGCAGAGAGGAAGTTTAAATCTTCAAGCATTTGTAGCAGATGGGAAGAGTCTGTTGAATCAGAAATACTGAGTAAAGTAGAATAGCTTAGCTACTACTGTATTCAGATCTTTGTAGATCAAATCTGTGAAACGAGACTTGGTTATTTTTGAAAATCATGCAACTTTCTCCTCTACTCTCTTCTGACCATTCAGTTGGTCTTTATTCAGAATTGGTCTCTGTTAAGGAGTTCTTTGCATCAGTCCTTCCATGCATAAGACAGATCAGAAAGCTTTGCTGCTTATCCTGCTAAAGGAAAGCATGTTTGGTTTGGAGCAGAGACATTTGTAGACAGAGAGGTAGGGAGCTGACTAGGAAGTACAGGTAGCCCTTGCTTAACAACCATAATACGGACTGTAAAATTCATTATTAAGTGGTGCAGTGACTGCACCTGATTTTATGACATTTTTTGCAGCAGTCGTTAAGTGAATCATGTCGTTAATTGATTTTGCTTGCCAGAAGCCAGCCAGGAAGGTCGCAAATGGCAATCACATGACCCTTTGATGCTGCAACCGTCATAAGTGCAAGCTGGTTGCCAAGCGCCCAGATTGCAATCACGTGACTGCAGGGGCACTGCGATAGTCATAAATGCGAGGACCGGTCGTAAGTCACTTTTTTCAGCACCACTGTAACTTCAAACGGTCTCTAAACGAATGGTCGTTAAGCAGGGACTACCTGTAACAGAAAGCAAACCCTGGATTCTCCAAGATGTAGAGAACCTGCTGATGTTTCTTCTTCTCAGTCCCTTGAGCATTCAGGAACAGGTACTGAAAACATAAACAGACTCCTTGGAGCCTCAGCAACCCAAACCAAAAACTCATAGTCATGTTCAAAATAAAATATATAACCAAGGAAGTCAACAGATTTGGCAGTAGCAGGTTGAGGCTTGTTCTTCTGTTCTTCCACCAACAGTCTCAATACGTCTTCCAGCCTCAGCTGAAAGTATACAGGCAACTCCTTACGTGAGAAGTCTCTAGCCCAGTGTTCCTCAACCTTGGCTACTTTAAGATGTCTGGACTTCAACTCCCAGAATTCCCAGAATTCCCTAGCCAGCATGAACAGAATTCTGGGAGTTGAAGTCCAGACATCTTAAAGTAGCCAAGGTTGAGGAACACTGCTCTGGACCCTTTCTTCCCTTTGAGCAAGAGCTTTCAGAGGGAGGAACCAGCTTCCTCCTCTATGTAGACAATGAGTTGAGTCCAACCTAAGTTGTGTAGCAGGGTGGAAGAGTTGGTTTATCCAGGCTTGATCAGGGTAACCCTACAGGTGCTTTCCCTGCAAGCTTCATTATCATCTCCCTCCACTTTCTCCAATGCCCGTCTTCTTCCTTCAGAGCACCTTTTCTGCTTAGCGGGCACAGAGTCTGCAAGCACTCTCACTCTGCTGCTGTGGCTTGCTCCCAAGGAGGCTGGAGTCTTCCCTTCACCACAAAGTTGGCTAGTTTTCTCTCCCCTCCTCTCAGATGTTAAATACCTCCTAGAGATTTCTTCGGGATAACAAAATGGCCACCTACGTCAGCATTTAAATCCAAGGTCCACAGGCCTACCATGCGAGGAGGCTTGGGTGGATGGGAGATGGACCTTTCTTTCCATTGCACAAATTTTTTTTTTTCTGTCTCTTGCATCATTCGGTCCTACAAGTTACTCACTCCCCAAAAATTCTAGTCATAATAGAGGATCACTGATGGGGACTCCCTCCCAATGCCTGTCATAGTGGTGTTTTCCAACTCTCCGATCATCTTGTGTGCTCCTGCCCTGTTTCCAGCACATTTCCATTTGGAAAGTCAAAAATATTTTCCCCACAAACTCAGGATCAGTGTTTTCCATTCAAACACGTCCTGGCAGATTTTCTCCTGGGGTCCATTTCAACACGGCCACTCTGAGTAAGCAGATCAGGACTCTGGTTCCAACCACGATCAAGAGGAACAGGCCAGGATGGTCCTCCTCGGTGCCTCCCAAGTTGAAGTCCACCCTCTCTCTATCTCCACCTTCTCAAAGCATCTGGAGAAGGATATTTAGAGAATGCAAGCCTTCGGTTTCAATATAGCCCCTAAGTGATGTTTCAGGGGCATTTCCCCACATCGATGCTACCTTCTACCCATTCTGTTATGCAGCCCCTGCAGAAGATTGTCTGCAATCTGAGCATCAGACCTGAAAGTCCCTATGTGGGCCATCCGGCCTGCCCAAAACCCAGGTCTCTATTACCCACCACCCAGAGACCCACAACGCCAGGCGGCCTCTTGCAGCAGAGGGCCGCGGCTGACCTCGACAACAGCTCAGCGGGGGGGCCCTGCTCGCTGACTGGGTGGGAGGCCACCAGGAAATCCCTCTCCAGCTCCCCGCGGCCCCGGCGCCCCGCAGCAGCCCC